CCCTCCAGTAGCCCCCCAGCCCAGCCTGGCTGCAGCAGCAGATCCGACAGGGATGGGGGGAGCCACTGGGGCTGTCTCCTTCCTCCCACTTTGGAGCACTCAGGGGCACCTTTACTCCCCTCTTGGCCCCATTTGTGGCTTGGCCCTGAGTATGGAGCGTGTAGAGAGTGGCCCAGCTTGCCGAGGTGTCCAGGCCAAGAACCACTTTGCTGTAGGTGTCCTCTGCTCCCTGCGTGGCCCTTTTTCGAAGACAGGTGTCCAAGCTTCCCATCCAAGCTCCAGATGAGAAGCAAACACCTCCCAGCCCAGCCTTCCACTCCCCAAAGTTTCTACCTTCCCCTACTCCAGCCTCCCATCCCTTCCCACTCCCTTCTGCGGAAACAGCAGCTCCAACCAGGGGCTGGAGTTCGGGCTCTCTCCTGAGGACACCTTGTCCCACCAGCTGAGGAAAGCAGGACAGGGGACAAGCTGGGCCAAGGGCTGACTGATCGAGGTGGCAAAACAGGGTGTCCATAGAGTTGGTGGTGGCAGAAATACTGGTGCCAGGGTTGTGTGGGACGGTGCCGCAGCAGAAGATCGGCTGACGGGGAGTAGGAGACCCAGGAGCCTCGCAGCCCGGCCCCAGCAGAGCCGGGGTTTGGTGGTGCATACTCCTGGCACCACCGAACCGGGTCAAGGAGAAGCAGGAGGGGGACTTGCCGGAGATACCACCCATGGATCTTGTTTAGCTCCGTGATGGCAAACGGCAAGAACGGCAGCTTAACTGGGGCAGCAGTAGCTTATGGCCTGAGCAGTGGGAGGACTGGAGCTCCTGCCAAGCTCTTAAACCTCTCTTTTGGGAGGGTGGGATGTAAAACTGGTGTAAACCACTAAAAAGCTGGGTCTGTTTGCTAACGAGGTCACCGAAGCAGATAACGATTCAGCTGGCCAAGGCAGAGCAATGCATGGGGCCAGACTGGGCTCCCTTCTTTTCCAGGATGGCTCCAGGTTCCTGATCCCAGTCGTTTTACTGGGATGGTGGGAATCCTGGGCTGGACTCGGCTGCTGCTGCTCTAGTCCCAAGGAGGACCCCAAGAGAGTGACGGGAAGGTGGGACAGCAGGAGAGGGCAGGGTTGAGGGGGTGCACAACAGCCTCCCAGTTCCCTCTGAAGGAAGGAAGAGGGAAAAGCAGCTTCGCACTGTGGGTGTTGATGCTCAGCCCTCCACGAGGCTCCAGTCCTCCATCCCTGGATGGGGCCAGGGAAGAAGATGGCTGGGAGAGAAGTGGTGGCAGCAAGATAGATTTGGGTTTTCTGTGGGGTTTGCTGTGACGCCCCAGTGCTCCTCCAACAGAGCCATCAATGTTTAATGGGGTGCAGCCATAGCAGTCCAGCTCAAGCCGAGCACGGTCCCCAGCCTGGCTGGGACAGGGGTGGTGCAGACAGGTCTGCTGAACTGGGAGATCCTCCTCCCGGGTCCTCTGAGCCACACGATGCGAGGAACTGCTCTGTGGCCAGGGCAGAGCCTTGCACTGTCTGTCCAGGCGCTGAGAACAAGCACCAAGGTGGTTCCAGGCACCTCAGAACTTTCACATTGAGACCAGGCGGGGTACCCCAGCCTGGATGTGGCAACCTGAGAAACGTCCCTCCTTAACCCACCAGCTCCCAGTCTGAACTCATGGAAGAGCTGCACCGAAAGGGGCTGCAGCTCCGGACAGAGCGAAGCAGGAAGCAGCCAGGCACAGAGCACCCCATCCCCAAAAGAGGAAGAAGGAAGGGGAGGCGCAGAGCTGGGGCCTCCCTCTCTCCAGGTAAAACCCCAAGCCCTGACCCACGCGGGCACATCCAGCACCAGCAGCCTTACAATTCAGCACGGAGACGGAGAGCGCTAACCAAGAGTCACGGAGAACCACTGCTCCGGCACTGGGGACAGTGAGCAAAGGGTTAACACCCCACCGCAGCACTAAGCAGCGGTGGGAGCAAAGGGTTAATGCAGCAGCGGGTGAAGGGAACGTTATCTCTCTCTTCTCTAAATATTATTTCCTCCCATGAAACCAGCTTTTCATCCTTGGCTAGAGGCAGCTCCCGCTGCTGGGAATGCAGCGAGAGCTTGTATCTGCTCCCAGCACACACCACTGCTCCCAGCGAGCGGCCGAGACAAAGAGCGGAGCTCCCAGCGCTGGGATCGGGCGGCAGCGGAGCGATGCTGGGGCTCCAGCCCAGGGGACGTGGACAGCCTCGGGATGGAGTCTGGGTATCCAGGCTCGTTACCAAAGAGGAATCTCGTTAATGACGAGTCCTTTTCCCACCCCGCTGTACCGCGCAGGGATTTCTTCCCCGTCTCCCAGGATGGAGAGGAGCAGGTGGAGGCACTTGGGGATGCTGATCAGGCTCTGCCAACCCCAGCCACCTTCCCAGGAAGGATTTTGGGGGGGCTGCCACGCTGCCCATTTCACACCTCGCCCCTTGGGTGGGCTGGGC